ATTCTACGGTGCCAAATTACTTAATCGAAATCTGACATAGGTGGTTCGGGCCGACGAGGCAAGAACATCGTGTTTGCAAGAGGCGGGTGTCACTATCGGTAAGCAAGATCACGAGACGAGTTCGTTCATTTGTTTAAACAATGTATCAAATTTTCAGAAAATGTCCCTTCAATAGCGCGCGACATGTCCGACGAAGGAATAAGGAGGCGCAGTTGTATCATTGCCTGCATGATGCAAAAAGTTGGCCTGGTGCGTACAGTTCCATTTGACGATTACGAAATGTTTGGAAAAGTAACTCGAGCTACAGAAAATTGTATAAACTGTTTCAGATGAATGGTAACATGATCGATATGGAAAGGATGGAACAATTGATCGACCAGATCACGCCTAACGTCGTGAACGTGAATGAACTACGGCAATCTGTGCGCCAGTGCGTCGAAAGCGGTGAGGAAAACTATGATAGACAGAATCAGTATAATATAANATAAACTTTTGGGATTGACTGTATAGCCAATACATCCTTAAGAAACGGTTACATTCCGCGCCAACTATATTATAGTGACCTATTGGGAATTGCTGAATAATTCCTGGCTTCGCGTCGCCATGATGGTTATCTATATCTATTGAACCCGTCCCCGTGTCAATTCCCAATAGGAATGAGAATAGATTCGCAGAATAATCTTTTTAAGTAACTATCGATCATTTTTCAGCTGCGAACGATGACCAATGCGTCGTCGCTCAAAACTTGGTCACCTGCGCCCAGGACCAAGTGAGGAACGCTTTTAGACAATTGATGCCCGGTACATTTGTTTAAATTTTCTGGATTCTGAACATGCTTGGACCTCCACGACTCCAAATTATTACACGTCCTACAGTATACCTCGCACCAAGAAGCTGTTACGTGATCATTCAAGGACAGATGAACATCTTGTGTTACGTCGATGACCATGTGTACACACGGAAGTTGCTCGGTATAATTATTGCTCTCTATTCGCGTAATTATTGAAAAAAAATACTGAACGAAACGTCGAACTGTCCGACGTTCAAAGGAAATTCTTATGCACGAACCTTCTAATAAATTCTAATGCACTTGAGAAATAAAATTACGTGAACACCTCTAACAATCCCAATTGGAAGTTCTCTAATCAAAGGGCCCAGGGAGACGCGGAACGCAACAGCCGCAAATGTTTGGATCGCGTCGAGGAGCCAGCCGGAATACACGATTCGACATAAATGAAATTACAAAGTCAAATGCAGATCGGGGGATACGCGCGCCGGATAAAGCCACTTAATGCAAACGACCGTCGTCAAAACGGCTAAATCTTTTGTTTAACACGCGGCCCGAATTAACTGGGATCGTGCAACGATACTCCATCATTACCATTCGCTCGTCCCCTCGTCGCTGGTTCGACAATTATATTTCCCATTCGAACGACGGTGAGTAAAATATTTTTTGTAACACACGCACGATTTTCGCTACTTTTCGTACTTATTCTGCAGGCTTAAAGTGTCCAGTTTTGGATCGGCGACTAGACAAATTTGACTTCAGATTCGTGATCAGAGACCCAAAAAACTCCCGTATACCAAATTTTGTATAAATCCGTTGATTTTTAGAAAATCATCCAAAAACACTTTATGCGAGCTTTGCCAAAATCCAAAGTGAGGCATGGTTTTTAAATTATTAAGGAAAACCAGTGACTATATATTTAATTT